TTAAGCTTACCAGTAATTAGTTTAGCTTATTATGTTTCAGTTAGTTGGTAGAGCCTCCACCTCTCAGCGAGCAGGTCACAGGTTCAAATCCTGGCTTGGATTTTCTTCAGGAACTTCAGTTTCCTCCCACAGACCAGAAACATGCATGTTAGGCTGACTGGTAACTCTAAATTGTCCCTAGGTGTGAGTGAGAGAGTGAATGGTTGTTTGTCTCGTTTGTCTCCATGTGTCGCTGCGATTGACTGGAGACCTGTCCAGGATGTAGCCCGCCTTTCACACAGCAATGGCTGGATATGAGCACCATTGACCCCTGTGACCTGAAAAGAAAGAAGCAAATATGGATGGATGTTTCAGTTTGGCTTACTTCTTGTTTTAGCTAAACTTAAATTAGTTTGGCTAATTTTAGTATAGCTTTGTGTTTTTAGGCTACGTTTAGCTAGCTTGGTTTATCTTAGTATACTGTGCACTGGACTGATGAAGTCTTTGGATCAAGGATGAAACGTTTCAACAAAAATAAGAAACCATCCAGAGGACCTGATTTAACTTTGTTGAACTTTTTACCTGGATAATTGAGCATGAACTTTGATGTTTTGAACCACTTTGACTATAGCGGCCTCAGAGGAGTCGACGGGGTAGAGGTTAGACTCCAGTAAACATCTTATCACCATCAAACTGGTTGGCCCACTATGTGAGCCACTTATGGGACTGAGTTTGTTGTGGCTCCTTGGACTGATGAAGTCCTTTGGATGGACCTAACTTGACTTAGTTGGATTTTTTACCTGGATTATTGAGCATGCACTCTGATGTTGGTAAACTAGCCTTGTAGTTTAGTGTCCCCTATTTTAGTTGAGTTCATCTACTGTATGTGTAGTTAGGCTTAATTACTGTAGTTTAGCTTAATATATTTTAGTTCAGCTAAGCTTACCTTTGTCTTCCAGCATGGCGGAGACATACTGATGGCATCAATGAGCTGTTTTTTTTAAACATATTTAACAACAATTAAAGGGTGTTTTTGTTCTGAATGAAACGTCAGGTCATCTGATGAGAAGCAGCTCTTAGTCTTTAGTTATATTTTGTTTCATTCTTCCTTTGTTAAATCCTAAAAACTTTCTTCACACTGGTTATTTAAAAAAACATGCACAGAACCAAAGCTCAATCAAAGCACTTTTATTAGTCAAACAATATGTAAGTTTTTTTTCTACTCTTTTTTTAATTTTCATTTTTGTCTTTTTATACTGTTCCCTCGTACACTATAATAGAAGTTTACTATCGAGTCTTCACAGAAACTTCTTCACTGCGCGAGTCTCCCATTCATTTGATACATTTTTAATGTAAGGTTTTGATAGAAATATATGGGCTGTGGTTCAAACGTGATGATGCACAGTATTTAATAAAAACCAGCGTGTGCGTCTCTGCGGTCTCTGCTGCAGACAGACTTTTGAGCCAGACTGAGATGGAAAACGGTCTGATAAAACCGACTGCTTCCTGGAGTCTGGTCTCACACAAAAGGAAGGGCAGGGACATGAAGGCAGAGAGGAGGGGACAACTACGACTGCTGCACCAGTCACTTCCACAATCCCTCTTCTGACAAACCTTTTTCCCCCCACAAACTGATTGTTTCCAGACTCTGTTAAAAACACAACTCAGGCCCAACCCCCCCTCCTGCCTCCCTTCCATCATTTGGGGGCTGCTGCTCGGCGCCACTGGGGGATCCAGGGGACAAAGTGGGGATGAACTACTCACAACCCACAGCCATGAGCACACCTCTTTGCCTCCAACACACAAATCTCGACTACCGTCTACATCAGCCCCCCCATCCCAAATAGCCTGCAGCGCTTCTGTTACATTAACATACTGCTGACTGCACCTCCTCCCGAGGTCTCCTGTCTGTCGAGGGAACTTCTGTCCTGCTGAGGAGGAGGAATATAGTAGGAAAAATGTTTTATTTAGACTATCCTGCTCATACATCTCAATGAGACTAAGAAACCCCTAAAGATTTTCCTCCCGTGTTGATAATATCTTCTTAAAATTGCATTTTTTGTTGGAGTTTGGTGTGGGTTGTAGCCTAAAGGTAGATGTAATTCAGACATTTGGAATAGGGTTCTGTGCAGATATACAGTAACAATTAATGGCAGCTTTAAATTGGCCTCAATATAGAGACATAGACTTAAAATCTGACAGGACCGATGAGCTTAAGGGCTAGTCGGGACATGGCCAAGGCTAGAGTGGATTGCTGCCAACTCCAAAATCAAAAATGTCATAATGGTTCATGAAAAATCAAGATTTCTGTCAATTTCTGCTACTAGCACTGGTCAGTGATACTAAAATAGCTCCAACAAAAAGTGTGATGTCAGCAGTTTCCCAGATCTCAGGCAAGCGGAACACAGAGTGCAATGCGATTAGTGATGTAGTCGTGAGCTGAGTCTTAATTTGTGCCGATAATAAAGCAACAAGATGGTATCCAAGAAGCATTGTTGCTACAGTACTTGCAACAGTGACAGCCGATACGCTGACAAGTCTCACATTCGAGGTTTACCGTTCAGGCTGTTTCAAACCATCTCAGTCTGGTCTCTAACTTTATCTCCCAGTTGTTCAGCCTGTGCTGTACCTCTGATGATTCCTCGTCACACCTAAGGAGAACCTCAACATCTTCATTTCTGTCACTTCCAGTTCTTGCTCCTGTCTTTTTGTCAATGCCACTGTCTCCAGACCATACAGCTGGTCTCACCACTGTCTTGTAAACTTTTCCTTTGACATTTGCAGCCACTCTTTGTTGCAAATCATTCCTGAAACTGTCTGGCCATGCTCTCCCCTGCCACTTCCTTACAGTCCCCAATCTCTTCTACACAGAATGTAATCGACCTGTGTACTCCTGCCTCCACTCTTATAGGTCACTCTATGTTCCTCCCTCTTTTGGAAATAAGTGTTGACTACAGCCATTTCCATTCTCTTGGTAAAATCCACCACCATCTGTCCTTCCTGGTTTCTTTCCTTGACACCAAACCTACCCATCACGTCCTCATCCCCTCTGTTTCCACCATGTCACCAACATGTCCAGGTCTGCTCCGAATCACTCTCCTCCCTGGGAATACTCTATCACTTCATCCAGATCCTTCCAAAATGTATCTGCCTCCTCTTTGTCACATCCAACCTGCGGAGCATAACCACTGACAACATTTAGCATCAGACCTTCTACTTCTACCTTCAGACAGATCGCTCTTTCTGACACTCTTTTCACCTCTAATACATTATTTGCCAACTCCTCCTTCAGGACCACCCCTACTCCATTCCTCTTTCTATCCACATCATGGTAAAACTGAACCCTGCTCCAATGCTGCGAGCCTTGCTGCCCTTTCACTTGGTCTCTTGGACACATAAAACATCTACCTTCCTTCTCTGCATCATGCCAGCCAGCTCTCTACCTTTGCCTGTCATTGTCCACACGTTTAGAGTTTCAACCCTCAGTCCTACATTCTTCACTTTCCTCTTCTCCCTCTGTCTCCTGACACGTTTCCCTCCTCGTGGTCTTTGACTAACAGTAGCACAATTTCCGCCGGCACCCTGTTTGTCAACAGCATCGGTGTCGGTCGTTGTTAACCCGGGCCTCGATCATTGTGGTATAATGTTGCTTAGATGAACTCACGTATTAGTTTGGGCAAAAGAGTTTTACTTCGGATGCCTTCCTGACTGAACCCTCACCATTACCCAGGCTCTGGACCAGCACAAGAGATACACTGACTTATGCTCCTCGTGGCTGGACTGTAAAAGTTTAAATAACAATTTAAAAGATAAAGCCTAAAGTTGTTTTAAGACCACCGCTATTTTTTAAAGGTCTTCAGCTTCAAAATTTCAGAGCAGTATCATTTTCAATAAGCATTATATTAAACTATCACACCATCATCTGTTTCACTTTATACACTTTTTTTGGTAAAACTAATAAAAGTGTGCTCCAGCTTGTATTATTGCTACATTAGCTTGTCAATTCCAAACTGTGGTTGTTCAATTTTTATCTACAACAGGTCAGATAATAATTGTTTATAATGTTTCCGCATGAATAAATACACCAGTTGTTAAACTCATAATTTAGTAAGGTGAGGCTATATTTCTAATTAACTGTTGATTTAACTGTCTTTAAATGTGAGAGCAGTTTTTAAATCTATCACCGGCCTAAATAAGGATTTATTCTAAAAACTCACTAATAAAATTGGGGACACAGACGTAGCTGTGTTTTCTTTCTTACAGATACTTTTTTCTTGCTCAAATTTCTAGCTGAACGATTTAATAAAATGTAGCCAATGGTTGAGCTAATAATTAATAAAGTAAAATTATTTATTTCCTTTCACCCGAAAACCAAATGTCCAGAAGGGGGCAGCAGCGCGTTCCCATCTGCGTTTTGGCCTTGACTTAGGGTTATTTCTCCCTGAGTATAGTCTGACAGGCGCTTTTTTTATGATTATTTATTCTAATTACAAAAAGTGAAGTTAGTTATTACAATTTTTAACTAACTCCTTTAACCAACACTCACACTTAAAACAAGTATATGCAGCAGGACAGTGTGTAATACAGAACAAAAATAAATCCCAGAACAATTTTCTGCATCAAAGACTTGTATCGAAAGAAAAACAAATAAATAAATAATAAAAACTGCAAGTAACACTTCCAGGTTCAAGCAACCACTGATTAAAAATCTTAAACGCATTAAAAACACGTCAAATGCTCACAAATAATAAAAAAAAAATAGCTCCAAAGTGTTTAAAAGTTTAATTTTATAATTGTTGCTAACTTTAAATATTATCTCTGATTAAGCTAAGAAAGTTTAACCCCTCAAAAAAAAAAAAAGTTTCTTTGATGTGCTTCTTAACCTACTTTTCTTGAGTTTTGCCCTTTTTTTTTTTAATCGTCTATGTTTGTGAGGTTTTGTGTGTGTGTACGTGCACGTGTTCGAGCGCGCGCGCACGCCGCGGGCTCTTTACTTGATGTGTTGTTTGCGCAACACACAATCACATTTCTTTTAAGCGACAGGGTGTCTAGACGCACACGTGACCGGGCGCGTCAATGCGCACTGGAGTCGAGGAGGAAGGGCACCCAAACCATCCGCCTCATTTACAGACAGAGAGAGAGAGAGAGACTTTTACCTCCCTCCTCCTTCCAACTCAGTTTTTCTTCCATTCAGCCACGGAAACTTCGTGCGAGCTCACGAGAAGGCTGGATTATTTGACCCGAGAAGGGAATTCGGCTGCGGAAACCTGCAGACGAAAGACGGAGCTTCTCGCTTCAACGCGGCTCCAACTCCCCCACAAATCGAGGGACTCAGACCTGGATTTGCTTCCCCGGGACGAGGCTCTCAGCAGCAGAAAGCATCCTCTGCAGAAGACTGGCGGATAAATTAGAATAAATACAAATAAAAACACAGCATCCTGGTGGAGAACCCGGGGATTTTGTGGATTAAAGCGCATGAAGACGCAGCGGCTTCGAGCGCCTCTGTTCTCGGGATAATTGCGCCAGCGCTGAGGTTTAATTAGGCCCCAGTTTGTCTCATGAACACCGCAACTCGTTCACGCTGATGGGGAGATTTTTGGCACCGGGTATTTACTGAAAACCCGCACGGAAAGTGTTTTTTTTTTTATTTTTATAGGGGCTCATTACGTTGAAGGTGCATGCGGCAACCTCTCTGTTCAGCTGCTTGACGGGGGAATGGTGATCCACTCCCTGAGGGAAAAGCTCCCTGTCCCCTGAACCCTCTTTTTTTCCCCTGGAGATCCGATCTGCAAGGAGGAGAAGAAAACACCACGGATACTGGCGCATGCTACAGATTTCCTCTGCTTCTCCAGCTCCCAGCTTTTCCACCGTCTTCTCTCCGGCTGCTTGTCGCTGCCTGGACTCGGATCCCGGAATCTTCATGATTTGCGGACACCATGCTCGTTCTTTAGCCGGGAAACCCTCTTTTCGTCCCGCATGTTTAGGACCAAACGATCGGGGCTCGTCCGGCGACTCTGGAGGAGCCGCGCGCCCGTGGAGGGCGACGGGGAGGCGGACAGAGGAGGAGGAGGAGGAGGGACGCGTCACGATCATGGCTCCGGGGCCGGCTGCTGCATGGGCAAAGCGACAAGCAAGGTGTCCAAGTGCGGCGCAGGCTCCGAGGCTGAACTGAAGGCGCTGACCCACTCTGTGCTCAAAAGGATCAAGGAGAAACAGTTGGAGGTGCTCCTGCAGGCGGTGGAGTCCAAGGGGGGCGCGCGGAGCCCCTGCTTGCTTCTGCCCAGCAAGGTGGACGCCAAAGTGGGTCAGCAGTCTTATTCCCTCCCCATGCTGCTCTACAAAGTGTTCAGGTGGCCGGACCTGAGGAACTCCGCGGAGCTCAAGAGGCTGTCTTGTTGCGAGTCCTACGGGAAAACCAACCCGGACCCAGTTTGCTGCAACCCGCACCACATGAGCAGGCTGTGTGAACTCGGTGAGTTTTGTATGTTATAGATCATATAAAGTCCTTAAACTGGTTTTAATTCTCTTCTGACTGGTCTTCATGTAACCTTAAATGGATTCCAGCTCTTCACTCCCTTAAGGACTAATTAGCCTAATTCAGATGACATCACCTCTCTGGCACAGTGGTCTTCCATAAGGTCAAAACTCGACTCCTTTTCATTCTGCTGGATGATTGGGGGGGGGGGGGGGTCATTAGTTCTGTCACTTCACATCAGCACACATCTGTCTGTGAAGTGTGTTCTTATGTTTTCATGATCTGAGCTGGAGCTTCATGCTTTTCACGGTGAAGTTTCCACCCCCACCCCCCTTCTCTGTGCATGTGCGTGTGCGTGCTTGGCGTCCCGGGCCAAAAGAGGCCCGTATCTCAGTTTGTCCTAGACGCTGATAGTGGCCCTTGTGGCGCCAGGCGGCCCCCTGTTTATCTGCCTGCCAATGAGGAGCTGCAGCCGCCCGGCCGGCCTCTCCAGGCGGGGCTCACACACACAAACCTCCCCCCTCCCTGAAGAATGACAGCTCTTATCTTAAGGTTTAAATCTCCCGTGTGTGTTTTTTGCTTCTTATTTCTCATGAGCTGCTTCTTTTTTCCTCCCTTCTCTCCACAGAGTCACCTCCTCCCCCATATTCACGCTATCCCATGGATTATCTTAAACCACCAGGTGAGCTTTTTCTCTGCAAGATCCAAAATGTTGCTTTTTTTTTTTTTTTTTTTGGTCTGTGTCAGTATGTTAGCAAAATATCACAGAAACCACTGCTTAACGAAACGTTGCAACCAAGTTTTGGAGAAAAAGCAAATTCAAGATGGACGCTGCAGCTACACAACCTTAAACACAAAAGATAGCTGACCAGTTTTACAGATGGTTAGCTAAACAGCTGGGGCTCATCCCCAACACACTCTCCAAGCACAGCTCAAGCTTTTTGTCTAAAACTTTGATTAGCTGTTGGAGTGATCCCTGTTCATCTGTTAGCAAAATAGCTCAAGAACCACTGGACTGATTTTAATTAAACTCTCAGACTAAAACTGTTGGATCCACATATACAGCTGATTAACATCTGGAGTGAACCCATTTCAATATGGCTGCCACAGCTAATCAACCTAAACAAAAAGGGCCATACGTCAGCCATCTTTATAGATACTGAGCTCAAATTTGGTGTTGTAATAGCTGATTATTATCCCCAACACATACTCAGAGCACTAACCGATCCTCCTCAACAATATTTGTAAGGTTCGACCAAAACAACAACAACTCTTTGTCATTTCACATCACAAGACAGAAACTGATATAAAAGGTGGCAGATGATATGCATTCCATCAAAGAAGTCTAGGGCTTCAATTTAGCATTGGTACGGTCAGAATTCATGATCACACGCTACCTTTGCAGCGCACAGTGTTTGTGTGTGTGTGAAATGGCTTCACGTTATGTTGTGATTTATGATAGCAGTGGAGTGGCACGCCGGGCTGGCTGGCCAAGTCCAGCATGGCTGGCAGCCAGGGCAAGGCAATACACAGTGGAGATGGCAGCTATAGACTGAGTGGCACGTCACCAGAGGAAGTGTGTATGTCTTCAAGTGGAGTTGGGGGAGAGTTTGTTTGTGTGTCCACCTATCTGTTGTGAAGACCCAGCCAGGCAGCCTTTATCACCTGAAACCATCTACAGATTAGGGTTGTATTTGGGGAGGTGGCTGACATTATAGACTCCATGGGCTCTTATACGCCATAGAGGGCATGACCAGAATGTCAGGGACCACGCTTTGAAGTATAAACTTCTGTGTTTTTGCATTTACATTCTTGTTCATCCGTCTTAGCGCAGAACGAGCTCAGAGTTGAACAGTGACCGCCGGTGTGCCGACCAGCCAGCACCAACAAAGTGAAAGTGGCTTTCAGTGAGTGGAAACAATAGGAAGTCATTGCAGCTGCAGCTGTGGTGATTCAACCCCCCCCCCCCCCACCCACCCACCCACCCCCACCCTCCTTCTGTCTTTTGTCATCTTTATTTACCCGGCTCTGGTACTATTGGCGTGCTTGAAAAGCGGCTCCCAAAACTTTAAACTGGAGCAGAACTGATCTAAAACGTTGGCATTGATGCTCCCTCTGCGTTCAGCTGCGAGCTGATGTGACGGAGCAGCTGTAGTGTCTCTGTGTTGAGTTCAGCTGGAGAGTTTCCAGCCATGAGAGGAAACAAGAAGGTAAATAGGAAATGCACACGGGATGCAGACAAAGGAAATGATTATACAACCTACCCTGTTTCCTCTCAGAGCAAACGGCCTAAACTTGAATCAGCGCGACTCTGTGGGGCTTAAATGGAAACTGAAGAGAGCAGAAAAATCTGTGGTGATACATTTAAAATTGAAATTACTGTAATTTCTGGACTATAAGCTGCTACTTTTTTCCACACACTTTGAAAAATAAATATCACTGTAATGCTGCTGTAATTTGTGGTATGTGATTTATCTGTGCTGCTGATTATTTCATGCTGCCCTATACGTTCGTACTCATGTGTTTGGGCTGCTGTTGTTTCGCCGTATTGTTTTACTTTATCAATGTGTAGCATATATCTTAGATCTTTTAGTGTACCGTTTGGCGTTCCTTTAACGTATGTCTTGGATCCTTATATACTGTTTATTTTTATACTTTGTAGTTTTTGCTATTTTTGGGTGTAACTGGGACCCTGAGCTGTGAATGACAATAAAATTGACTTGAACTTGAACACCACAGATTGGCAGATATCATGTTACAATGTGAACACTGTGGCTTATAGACCAGCGCGGCCTATATATGTACAATTATTACTATTATTTTAATTTAGTGGGCGTGACTTGTATTCGGGTGCGCTCAATAGTCTGGAAATTACGGTAATCGGTTTCCCATATTTTTAAGCCTAGCTCGCCTCCAAATAGGTACAGGTGCAGTTTTGCGTTATCAATGGAGACATTGTTTGTCTGGTTGTGTTTCTCTGTAGTCTGAGAAAGGTGAAAGACGTATTAAATGGGACAATGGAGCAGGCTAGGGGGCACACACACTCCTACACACACAGGGCAGATCAGGTTATCATGCAGAGAGATGGGGCTTTTTCCCCTACAGCCTCGGGAAGCCATCAGTCATCAACTCCTTATCACTGCTGGACGTTATTCCAATTTTCTTGTACACTTTTTTTGTGTTTGCTGCATGTCAACATTCATCGTCACAACATCCAGGAAATATGTGTAATAACTTTAATGAGGCAATCAGCCCTTGAAAATATTCACGTGAGGCAGAAGAGTTTTACGACGCTGCCTTTATGGCTCCAGTGAGCAGGAAGTGGGGGTTATATGTGTCAGGGTGTCTGTCCTGCTCCGTCAGAGGCGGTTCATATGAAAGGAGCTCAGACATAAAACGTTACCTTGTTTCAGCTCGGGGGAATATGAATCGCACACTGTTTGGCTCTTTCACTCTTGATGCCACCCCCCCAGCCCTGTGGTCAGCTGTGAACTGCTGCCCGAGAGACCAGGGCAAGGCTCGCTGGCAGCCAATGAAAGGGAGGAAGGCTTGGGTTATGCCTGTGCATGTCATTGCAGCGACCGCAGGAGCGCCGGCCTAAAGGACCGCTCAGGTCACGGCAGAAGTCATCGTCACCAAATCGGAGAAACATTGAACATCTTTTGGGGTGATCAACGTTTGTTTCATAATTCGCTCAAAGCTGCGCACTGGGGTTCAGCGGATTTTCAGTGTGTGCTGACGTGAAGCAGAAGGAATTTATCATTAGTGAAGCTACTTAAGTTAGCCTGCTCCCAGCGGCATACTCAGCACACACAGCTCCTCTGTTAAAGCTCCACTCAGGTGTTGCGTTTAAACTACACTACAGGTCTTAAAGGGAGTTTAAGATTCATATATGTATTTAAAAAAAAAGGGCAGATGGGGAGAGACTGTTTAGTTTTTCCTCCCCAGTTTGTCCTAAAGAGGATTTATAGAAGCTTGTGATGTCTGGATAAGCTTGTGTTATTGTTTTTCCTGAGACAGTCTGTGCCACACACATTTATTCCTTATAATATTCCGAGCTTTGCAGACTTATTTGAAAATAAATAAAGCAAGAAAACTATTATGAGACGATTAAGTCCTCAAATGTTTGATGTGTGTTTGGTTGTGGAGCTGGGATCAAAGGGTCCGGCCCCTAAACTCTCGCCTCGGTCATCAACAGAAAGGATGGAGCTCTTTCTAGATCAGCGGCTCATCCAGGCAGAGAAGCAGGGCTAACATTCTTTCCAAAGCAGTGGATTATGGGGGATTATCGAGGGTGTAAGAAATTCTCCTCTGTAGTCTTGTATGTGTGTCTGCGTGTGAGAGGGAGCGTGAGCTTCATCGTCAGTGTCTTCATTAGGCATTGATTTCACCCGAGTGATTGACGGCCTCGCAGCTGCTGGTCTCCTATCACACACACACACACACACATGGACACACTCGGTACTAATTCAGAGTCTTTCTTCCAATAGATTCTCCAGACTCTGGACCTTCATCCAGTGACACTGGAGGAACGACGGACTCGGCCCCTGTGGGGCTTTCAGGTAAATGCTCCACAGATTTTCTTCTTCCTCCTTATCATCTTCTGTTTTCTTTCTCTTTTGCATTCCTCTCAACACACACACATCTCCCCTCCATACTTGTGATGATGAGGCAGTGATTGTGGGGGCCCCTGCTTCCCCTCTGTAATAAAACAGCCAGTGGAGGAGGGCGGTGCAGTTCTCCCACAGCCACATAAATTCTTCCCTCCTGGCTCATTGAACAACTCTGCTGTCTCCTCTTTCTCTCTGCCGTTCCCCTCGCATTGCTTTCTGTGTGATGTTGTAATGGAAGACAAACACGCCGGGCTGTTGTTTGCAGAATATATTCAGTGCATGCAGGAGAAAGAAGAAAAAAACACCCCCAGCTTAATTCAACTGAGTGTTTCGGTGTGTTTGCACGTACAGGGGATGTCTTTGTAGACAAGAAGCTCTCCTAAGGGCTGTGTGCGGATAAGAATGGGACACAGGCGCCTTTCTGTCTTTTTCTCTTCCAGCGCTGATGCAGGAAATGTTTGGGCTTCCTTAGCATTTCTTCTATAATCTCCCTTTGGCAATGCTGCCCCTCCTTACCCCTTGCCCAGTCACAGGCTGCAGAAAAAGATAATTTTTTTTTGAACGACGAGCGATTGCGCTGCTTTCGTTGCTGCAGATGGTTCTCATTATTGGGCCTTTAAAGCCTGTTTTATGTCAGTTGGCGTTCCCTGCCCATCCCCCCCCCCTTTTGTTTGGTGGTAGGGGGGTGGAGGGTTTCGCCTGCCTGTTTATGTGTCTGTAAATTTTAGAAGGGGAGAGAGATCAAGAGCAGAGGATCCAAAAATCTCGCATTCCTCCCCTCCGATTCTTCCTCCAGACCATCGGATGGACTAGTCCTCTTAACTAAAGACACATTTCAGAGACGGCTCAAACTGTGAAACCTTAGAAGTGGAGGCTCAACCTACCCCCCCTTTAGTTTTATCCTCCTTCATTAAGGTATATGCACCACCCCTCCTTTCATTTCCACCTCCTCCCCTGCTTTCCTTCCTGGTGGGGATGACATGGCAGCGGCAGCCAGCAGTTTAATGAATGGGCCTCCGCTGTGAGAGCAGGAGAGGCTGGGACATGATGGCCAAAGTGTTCTGCCCTTATGATTTCCCTGGCAAGCCAAGAGAGTGAGAAAAAGGCTATTCCATTTCTCTTCAACCCCCACCCCCACCCTTCTCTCATCTTCCTGGGTTCCCTGCTTTGCTCCCTCCCTCTGGGGCCCTGACAAAAGAAACATGGCTCTCCCAGAGGCCCGCTGCTGACCTTCTAATTCACTCACTCTGCCCTTTTTATGTTCTTCTTCAGACAAATTCAGAGTAGAGGGAGGCACTGAGGGGAGAGGCTTGAAGTCAGCAAGAGTTCTGCAGCTGCCCCCTTTTTTTGTTGTTGCATTGATTGAGAATAATTAAGAACTTGTCTTTGAGAAAGAGCTCAAAGACGACTGCGTAATTTACCTAAAAACATGGTTCGGACAAGAGCAGAGAAGGTGAAGGTTCCTCACTGTTTATACATCCCAGCGGGGAAACTAGATCATTCAGACTGGAAGGAGTCAAACGAACTGTGACAGCGACAAGCGCAAATGCAAACTAGGCTGCCTGCCAGGCTAGCTGCTCCAAAGCTCCCCTCACTGGCTCACGTCATCCGCTTGGAACAGAGAGGAGAGGATGGCTGGAGCCGGGCGTCGGGACACCAATCTTGGTTTAGGCTTGGAAAAGGGTGGGGTGGGGGGTGGGGGGGGACGGGTTATGAAATAGAGATCAGGTCAGGGTTAAGAGGGTGCTGCACTGTTGATTATGAATCTGTGGAGTGTTAAATAACAAAGTTATGAGTAGCTTAAGAAGTGTTCCTGTTGCCACCCAGCTATCTTTGTTTTCTGTCGAGCTTGATTCAGATCAAACTTTATCTTTTGGTTCGTTGGATTTTTTTTTTTTTTTAACAATTTTAACGCCATTTTACATTTTGCTTGAGGATGAATGATGAATGTTTTCTATAGAATAAATCCAAATGGCAAACACAATCCACTGCTCAAGAATAGGGATGCACGATATTGGATTTTTGACCGATATCCGATATGTTAGGATTTATTTGGCCGATACCTATATTTTTAATATACTTTCCTTTGTCAGAACATAACCCTCTTATTTAGGCTTATTTGCTACAAAAATTGTGTAACAGCTGTAAGAGCTGGTGACATATATTCAGTAACAGCCATATGCATAGAACTTTAATTTATATTAAATGAAAAATGTTAAATGTTATTTATTAGCATTAGTCACCTGTGATGCTGTCTCACTTGTGGAGGCTTGTTCCAGGTTCCTATAGCTGCAGTGTGGGATAAACTGCACTGTTGTGCATGAAGGACAGACTTTTTTAAGTTCAAAGTTTTTGTCTATCCATTGTGCCGTGAGACTAATCATGCTAACGGGGCTAACACTTGACGTCCAAATGTCTGTGGTAAAACTCACCCAACAAGTCGTGCTATCAGCTGTTAGCACCTCAATGACGTCGGAAATGACGGCTTGTAACTTGGGTAAGCCTACGTTGGAAAAATATCTCAGACTGGGGATGATGTAGCGAGGCTCAATGTAGTCCAAAAATCTTCGGAATCTGACATCTTCACCAACAACAAAAAACTTCCACACCGCCGACATTTTGGCTTCTTCCTCTCCGCCATGATCAGCCCAGGTAGGCGCACACATGATCACGTTGTGCTGCCGCTGCAGGCATCCTTGTCACTGGGTTGTCATGCAAAAACAGCACCTTTTATATCGGTGAATTATTTTGATGGAATGGCCCATGTCCGATATTGAACTTTAACGCTAATATCAGCCGATACCACGCCGATAATATTGTGCATTCCTACTCAAGAACTTCGACTAAGTATGATTGTCCAGAGTTGTCATATCTGGAATGACTGGATCACAGCCAAACTAAATTCAACACTAATCACGCTGTCCCTGCCAGCTTTCTGTCATGTTTCCTGAACATTACTGCTGAGGATCAATACCTAACACGTCCGTTGTCAGACTTCTTTTAAGGAGAGTTCTGTTTGAGCCAGACGCTTGAATGTATTGCGCTGGTTTGTGTATGTGTCAGTGGCATGCCTGTTGGTGCCATTTGGGGCAGACGCAGAGTGCCTGTGTGTAAGAGGATCCAGTCGGGTTGTGCTGACTTGAACACACACACATGCATTGACTTATATACACACACACATTGACATATATACACACACAGGCAGGCAGATAAAATGACCCGGTGCGAGCCCTGGCGCACGGCCGATTGTCACACAGGCGCTTCCTCCCACTGCAGGTTAAATTTAGGCTGCGTTGTATTCTTATACTGCCAGCCAGTCACCTACCTCGGCAGACAGTCATCCGGCCCTCCAGTCAGTCAATTAGTCATCTGGTGAATTGGGCTGGAAGTGGAACCTTCATCAGGGGCTCTGATGAAGATTAAATTTAGTCTTGGCACCTCAGCTCATTAAATCAACCTAGTTCTGCAGTCCTAATGAAGCCTCACGCTTCCAGATAGTTCTTGATTTTTCTTTATCTGCAAATTTAAAAGAACTTGTTTTAATTTACTTGTTGGGATTTTTTGGGGACAATATTCCTTAACACAAGTCCTATATTTAATTTTTTTTCTCATTCCAAATAATTAATCACTCAGCCCAGAAACAGAGCACCCTCAGTCTCCTTTGCCTCCTTCAACATTCCTGCCTTGTTTGGGTTAGCACGAAGAGGAAAGGGCCGCGCAGGATATGACCTCATGTCTTTGAGGAAAAGGCAAGCGGACGGGGAGGCACCCGAGGCCTCATCTTGATGGAAAACAAACCGGGGGGGGGGGGGGGGTTCCATAAAAAAAGAGGAACGGTCGGGGGGGGAAACACACCAAAAAGGCAATACATTGAGCATTTGACGTTGCTCCCCTTAAAGAGAAAAACGAATCAAATATTTTAGTGCCCTTATGTTTCTGCTTGAACAGTAAGAGAAAGGAATGAAGAAGCAAGAAAAGATGGCGGCTTTGGGTGGAGGGAAGGATGGCCGGCAGCTCTGCTCTGCTCCCTGTAATTTGGAGGCTGTGTGTTCGCCAGCGAGCTGAGCATAGCAGAGCCGGGCCGCTCTGTGCTGGGCCAGGATCTCTCATTACTCCCCACTTCCTCTCCTTGCAAGGGAGCCAAGCCGCCTCTTGGCAAGGGACTTAATTTTGGTTTTGGCCGCCCTCTATTCCCCACCCTGTGTCATTATGCTGCACAAATCGAAAAAACAGCACGCCGAGACAGCAGATGATGGGGTAGGATGGAGGATTGAGCCTTGCTTGCATGTATTCGAGTTTATTTCCTTCGCTTCAGATACTTTCTGGTCATTGCATTTTAAAGTTAAAAGCATCACCCATCTCTAGCTCTGGTGGACACGAAAGTTTGAAAGATTTGGTTCTGAGCCAAAGCTGGAGAGAAGCCCAGAACAAGATGAACATTGTTTTGGTTTGGAGTCACTCTGTGGAAGTGGATTTTGACAGTACTTGATGAAAGAAGCCATGAACAATATTGAAAGAGAATGTGTGAAGGGGAAAGGAGGGGGGGGGTTGCACCTCTCTTTAGTTGGATTAAAAAAGGAAGAAGTGGAGACACATGCCCATAAACCTGTGTGTTTCTATTAGGTCTAGTTATTGCTGTTGTCTCCACCCTCCTGCCTTGTTCATGTAAGATCTTTTTTTTTGTGCACCCTGAAGGGAAGGTCAGATGTGTCTCAAATCGGTTGGCATCAGTCCTTGAACGATTTCATACCCTCAGAAGATTTTAGCAGGTATATAATTACTAATATAAATAAATTAAAGCAGTTATCAGCCCACACACAACTAGAGCTGCTAGTCGCTTGTCCCTGTTTTATTTAATTCCCACGGTCTTTAAGCCACAACAATGTGCGTGATTGTTCAACTTCTCTGTCCATTCGTCTGTAGCAGCCTGCATTTTTGTGTGCGGCTGTAAAAGACTCCCAAGATACAGATCTTGTGGGTAATCTTCTGACTTGTGTGTTTGCTAAAGTGATCTGATGACATCATACCAGCCGTCCTGGCACCCTGTTTCAAACTGCCTCGTGTTTATTTGTCTTGTCACCCTGGGAAATCTGGGATGCAGGGAGTGGTGGTTTGTGAGTGTACAAGGGTCAGCTAGATGAGGTGTTGGAATAAGAACCTCAGCAGGATTTTGGAAGGAGACGCAACAAGGGAGAACAAAATGTCCCTCGGCGAGGAAGTGTTCTAGGGTTTTGCTATAACGTATTTCAAGATAGGAAGATTTGGTTCAATTGATTTGGAAAAGTTCTTGAGTGTTATCTCGAGCTGTGGAGCACCTCATGTCTGAGTAAAGATGAGTAACAGAGACTCCTGAAGAACATGCAGACGGAGGTAAACATGCACCGTTTCTCCTTTTTATCTCCTCCCAGTCATTGCCGGATGGTTCATGTTGGAGATGGCGTGTCTGCAACTCATTCTCTCTATCTGTGTTTCTGCAAGGAGTCAGATCTGCCGATAGAGAAACTGTGCCACTCCCCTGTGTGGTTTTCCTGCCATCGGGGCTTGTTTAGGTTTCCTGAGATGGGGGAAGGACTGAACAGCTTGAGTAACTTGCCACCCAAAAGCGGCACTTCCTCCCTTTCAGCTACTAAACATTAGTACACTATTTTCTTGACCATTTATCTGCTTTGTTGTTAATTAAATATTTAGCGTACATGTTTATTGTTTAAATAATACACTTCAGTAGCAGATTAGTATATGCTTGTGGACTTTTTATACTGTTTGTACACTAGATGAACAATGGAATGGACTAACATTTGCTTTCTGTGAGCAATTCCAAAACAAAACAGCCTGCATGCCACATGTCACACCTAATTACAAGTTCCTGGTAGTGCATCAGCATACTTGGAAAAGTGGAAATTACCCACTCATCTCTTGTGAATCGGTGCTTGACAAGTCTGAAAACCTTTATCTCTGAAGTAGTGAAAAACCTTGTTAACCTTGTTAGATCTTTTTCTTATTTTCTTTTGCTCACTGCTCAGGTAAAACAAATGGTTAAAGAAGCAGAGGATGCCTGATGTGAGAAAGAACACAATCATTGTGCAACAAGAAATAGTTAATCACAAGTAAAAGTAGCTTGAGTCATTTATTTTTTAACAGAAGCAAAGCAGACTTAAACCTGCATGGCTGTTGCATTGCATTGATGTGAAACAAATTATGCCTCTTTAAATTTTTACATTTTTGCTTATCATTCAGTTTCCTGCTGCAGATGAGATGAAGCGAACAGACAAAAACATCCCTCTACTGGTTTGCTGTTGAGATGCTGTCTTGACTCTAAAATTCCAGAAAAGGGAGATCAATGAGATGTATTATTTTGTAGGGGGAAAAAGTGGAGAAATAACAGAGCTTTTTGACTACAAAAAAAAAAAGACATCCATCCAGGGTTGAAAACATACAAGGGAGAACAAAAGAAATGCCTCCAGGGTGACCCTTGACCTTTGGAGTAGACTTTCTCCGGCTCGAGAGAGGGTGTTGACTTAGAAAATAAGGCACCGTGAGTTGCCCCACCCCACCTCGAGCAGTTCGCTTCACGTCTTCCTTATTCCGGTTTACATCGGCTGCGTTCGTCTGTTGACAAGGCCATTTCACGTTTGATCCCAGAGAGGCACAAAAACACATAGAGACGGACTCCCAGGGATCGATGCGAGACGGTTCTCAGGAGCCTCCTTCCTATTTACCGATGTTGAAAGTGTTCAGAACTGAAGGTTGAAAATTGAGCGTGTGACGGTGTTGAATCTGCTGACTTCTAAGAATAGCAGCAACCTGGTGTGTGTATGTGTGTATGGAGTCAGACAGAGGTAATGATTAACCTTTCCAGACTGTGTTTGTGGCCCTAAGAGAAGTGTAGCGCCTCCCCACCCTTCTTCTCAGCTGTCCTGCCTCACTTCAGTGAGGTCTGCTGTTTAAAGTGGTGAACTCTGTCACATTTGATCTAATTGTGTTTAAAACTGCTTTGCCCAGGAAGGTGAAATAATCTTAATATGTTGCAGTTACTTCATATAAGGTTGCCAAGAAAACTGGAGGAATATGCTCTTTTTCCTACAGTATGTTGTTGCTAGTAGCTAACATCTATTTTAGCTCATAGCATTAGCTTCTTATGGTTTTATATACTGCAACATCTGCTTTAATACCTGTCATGATCATATGATAGACCTAACATTTTAGCCCTCATGAGTGTTTTTCTTTGTGGTGAACCAGCAGGGAAAGTCTTTATGTTAAATGGTGGGGGTTGCGTGTACAGACCCCATGGGACAAACCCAGAATAGGACGGACCAGCAGTAGGCAACTGACAGGAGCAGAACAGAAAAGGTTAGGGTGACAGATGGCCGCAGGCTGCCAGCTTATCTCCAGCGAGGAGAAGCCTGAGACACAAGAGGGCTTAAAGGCCGTAGGAGCAGGTGGGGAGGCAGACAGATCCACAGACTAATGCTTTGATTGGGAGACAAAGCCCAGACATGCAGGCGTACTAAGAGAGGGGACTACATCTGACACGCACTTCCGCCTGTATTAGATGAACCTGAAATAGTGTTGGGCTGTAACACGAGGAGCATGGCCTCTTACGAAGTGTCAAAAACGAAAAAACAAGATAAATCAGATAAATAGTCTTGGAACAGGGCGAGTTGTAACGGCGCCACTCAAAACGCGAGCGTCTGTTTTTATAAAGGTGTGTGTTCAGCAGCATTACTCGTGAGGTGTAAGCTCATCTGCTGTCAGAACAAGCTGTGAACATCACTCTTTGCGAGGCAGCACCCCGTTGACTGAGGAGTCTGGCTGTCTCGCCCTGATTTACTGAATGGGTCTTAGTTTGTTTACCTGCAGGAGACATTTGAGCTCGACCGAGGTAAAAGTGGCGTCAGGGATATTAAACCACACAAGCCTTTGTTGTTGTGTTGCATCATGCAAAGTGTGGACAAAGGGTTTTCTGAGGAAGACCTCAAATGTCTAAAAGTTGGAGCATGTCCACAGAGTACCAGCTTGTCTCTGTAAAGACTGGGTCCATAACGTTTGGGTCTTTGTAACTTTAATAACTTACATTTCCTTTTGCCCGATCATGTTTTTCCTTGTCTAACTTCCACCATTTTGCCTTTTATCCCCCCACTCCACCCCGTGTGGTTTCTTTGTACCACGAGTTTGAGTTTGTGAGAGTCCATGAGGCGGGGGAAGCGGAGCCGTTAGTGTAGGCCTGAATAGCAGAGTGTTTTCGAGCTGCAATGACAGGCTCAGACAGGCAGCCGCTCTAATGACCTATGACGCCAAGCTCTGTCTCTCTCAGCAATAAAACACACACAAACACAGACACATGGGGCCTCACAGGTGAGCTCTGCCAGCAACCCCACGTGTCCTTGTCCTTATCAACCTTGGCTGTTCTTGTATGTGTAAAACATGCCCGGTTTGGAGACATCTTCCCGAGGCACAAAAGACACTTTCTGTCTCATATTTGAAAGATGAATCCTCCTTTTTTCCTTCGTTTGGTCTTAGGTAGATAGTTGGGTGCTTGGTTTCCCTTAGCACCCCATGAGGACGGATTTACGATAAACTCCCCAAGGCTCGGCTCAGTCAAACTTCAAAGAACACAGACCCTCTTGTTTTATGGAAAGCATGCTTTTAGTTTTGCTGGCCTCTTTCCCTTCCTTACTTTTTTTTGTTTCTGTTCCAATGTTGTTTTTCCCCCCTTCTCTTTTCCTCTCTCTCTCTCTCTCTGCGACTAATGAAGGCTAATGACAGGCCAGGCTAAGTCCACTTGGGCCAGCAGAGATCTTGCCGCATTAGCGCTGCAGTTTGTCTCAGTTGGGACCTTCCAAATTACCAGTTCCATTCAAAGCTACTGGCAAATGAAAAGGAAAGTCGAATGGGAAGCAATAGAGCAATTGAAATGTCTCTGAAAGGGGCTCTGATCTTGAGAGTTCTCAGTTTGTGCTTCCCTCATTTGGGCTGCATTAAACTGGTCGTAAATCAGGGCTTCCTTGTGGAGAGGAAAAGCACAAGAGATGGCTTAAAAATCTGGAGTGGAAGCAAAGTTGCAAAAGTAACAGTCAAAATATGTGAAAAGCATTCCTTCTCCTCCCCTCCCCACCCCCTCTCTGTCTCACTCGATTTCCCTTGCGCCTGACTGGCTCCCACTTTGCTAGCTGGGAGCCAGATTTCTGAGGAATAGAGATATGAAGGGAGAGAGTGGCGGCGCAGGAGGCCCTCCGAAGGGGGAAAAAGAGGAGGAGGAGGAGTTTGGAAACTGGAGCATGGCCAACGCTACACTTCTTTTTACACTCAGGGGAAACTTTAGACTCAGGCCTTGCTTGTCAACGATCCAGACACCAGGATTGGAGAGTTAACATAGTTTAGCTGTTAGCGCGAAAGACCCTAGTCGGTTATCTTAGCGTCATCTTTGTCTGTCAAAGATTGATTCTAATATTTCCTTTAACCCGGTGAAGCATGTTGCTGTAGAGACAATCAGGACAGGAGGTTGACGTCAGTACATTGTTGGCCTTGCTGCTGCAAAAATACAGCGAGCCAGACAGAAGATAAGCATTTAATGCCTAGATAAATATTGTACTGCATGTGGAAACTTGCCTGGCTGTGTATCCGAGTTGATTTTCTTGTCTGAAGTCCAGGAATTCCAATATGTTTTTCTGTATGGCAGAAACTGTGGATGACAGCTTAGTTTTGGCTCTTGAATAAAGCAAATTCTCATTTTCCCAAAACAGGGATAAAAGCAGTCATTCAGATGTAGCGACGCTGGAGCGTCATTCCTGCTAAGATTTAGATGACATCTGATCAGAAGTTTATCTCAAAGTCTTTGTTCCCCCCTCTCTTTGTTTCGTCTTGATCTGTACCATTTTCAGTCCATTATTTTATTGTTATCATTCCCTCTTCCTCCAGTCTAAGCATCTCTGTCTCTTGTCCATTTTCAGATTCTCTGGCGTTGCAAGAGTCTGGTGAGCGCGCCCATTGGTGTGTGGTGGCGTACTGGGAGGAAAAGACACGCGTTGGACGCCTCTACTCGGTCCAGGAGCCCTCTCTGGACATCTTCTATGATCTACCTCAAGGGAACGGCTTCTGTCTGGGCCAGCTTTGCTCTGACAACAAGTCCCAACTGGTGCAGATGGTGCGGGCCAAAATTGGCTACGGCATCCAGCTGACGCGCGAGCCAGACGGAGTGTGGGTCTACAACCGAAGCTGCTACCCCATCTTCATCAAGTCGGCCACACTGGACAACCCGGACTCGCGCACGCTGCTGGTGCACAAGGTGTTCCCTGGATTCTCTATCAAAGCTTTTGACTATGACAAGGCCTGCAGCCTGCAGAGGCCGAATGATCACGAATTCACGCAGCAGCCCCGCACAGGCTTCACTGTGCAGATAAGCTTTGTGAAAGGCTGGGGACAGTGCTACACCAGACAGTTCATCAGCAGCTGTCCATGCTGGCTGGAAGTGATCTTTAACACTCGGTAGCAGCAGCCTTTCTCGCTCCTCACTCGGACCTCTTCACAAAAAGACTTCATCCACTTTTCTCGTTTTTGTCGGAAAAGGTTCAAACACAGAAAAATAAAAGGATTTAAAGAAGAAAGTATAAAATTCTGATGGACTTTGTTTAATAAATGACTGAGATTTAATGAATAAGAGGCAAAAAATGTATTTTATGTTATATATATATAAATATATTATTAATTGTAAATATGAAGACGTTTTATAAGCATCATTATTTATGTATTGTGCAATGTCTTGATGAGAAAAGAAAAGAAGATGCACTTTGCTTAATATAAATACAAAACAAAGAAATGCCAAAATAAAAAAAAATACAAATAATTTTTCTTGTCCAGTATAATCCTTTTGGGGGTTTGGGGTGAATGCATTTAGCTTTAGCGATCCTCTTTTCAGTTCATAATTTACCTTAGCAATATTATATTGAATCCAGATGTCACTTCTCTAAAAGCCTTTTTAATTCAGGGTTTTTTTTATAACCAAAGTCAACTTTAGTTTAACTTTGTGGTACTGAGGGGCTTTGATGTCGCTCTGTGGATCTTAAAAGCCTTTTCCTCCAAGACAAAATGAGTCAGACTGTGACACAGCCATAACTCAGGGGCCCCCGTTCTCACAGGCTCATTATGTTTTTTAAAATTGTCTGTTTTTCCTGCATTATTTGGGGATGAATGTCCCACTTCCTGTCTGCCATTAACTTGATTTGTGACATCCCAGACCGGAAGCACTAATGACAAATATCAGGAAACAATAAAGTCAACAGTGGGGTCTGGCTTCCTGGAGGAGCGTCTTTATTTAAATGTCCAATAAGACAAAGGAAAGTCGTCGTGTTTCAGACGAAAGAGTTCTGCCACTCCTGAGGAAATGACATCACTGGAAGTTGATATCAGAGGATTTTGTTGACTACGTGGTTAAACACGATGGCCTATTTCACGACAGCTTGTATCTCTAAACAAGACAAAACAGATCTCTTAACAAACATTTTGTGTGTGTGTGTCTGTCTGGGCATCGTCCTCTTTACTAGTCAGATGGGTGTCTGCGAAGAGGATTACTGCGTAAGCCTGCTTTACCCACAGTCACAAAGTCCTACATTCTCAAGACCCACTTTTCACCACCTATTATGTGTTCTGTTCAATAACTTGTTTTCAACTTTTCAAAAAACAATACAGTTAAGTCTAAAATAAAATTAATTTATAAGTACTTAATTCAGTTTAGTGACTAAAAAATATATGTGTTTGGATGATGCAGTTTCCCCTCAACTATCATTCATGCAAGGATTTATTCCGGTTATGTTGTTAGATTGTGCACGAGTTGCTCTGAATTTATGGGAAAGTTAAATACGTTGACACCTGTGAAAACCAAAAGAGTGGGAACGCAACTTTCATGGGTTTTGACTTTTTCATTATTAGCCACCAGACCAAGACCATTGTGACTCATTTCATTTTCTTTGCACATGTTCTGGTCTTTGTCTGGCTTTTCTAAGGCTCACATTTAACAATTTAATGTGACCATGAAAGACAAAAGACTTTTCACTGATTAAATGCACATTTATATATGGTAATAGAGCAAGAGTGTGGTTTTCAGGCTAGGTCAGAGTAGATGTTGCACCAAACTGCTGCAAATAACTGTCAGCTCCTAGTCCAGACTGGCTCGACTAGTTTGAGCAGACAGGAAGTGTTAACTCAGTGTGTCTTTTACCACCAAATGTAACTAAATAACTCCTGTTCTCCTAACTCCTAACTCCTTATTAGCAGCATGTCTCAGTTGGTAAATAAATTTTTGAGACACGAGGAGTGATGTCTTTAGAGATCAGGTTTTTGAAATTTGTGTTTATGAGTGTGGATTATTAAAACTGAATTTGTTGTGAACAGTTCTTTAACTGGACAAATTATAGTTATTCATAATAAGAGTCAGTTGAGGCTGCAGTAATGTGCTTATTTTTGAAGTTCAAACCCAGCTGCACTATTTGTCTGTGTTGCATTTGCTTTGCCGCTTAGATTATTAGCCCATGTGTTCTGGGACAATGCCTTTTTGTTTCAGGTTACCTTGTAGGGACCAATTTTACAAAAAAGTCATGCCAACCAATTTCTCTTTATGGGGACTAAAGCCAGGTCCCCATAAGAAGTCTCGTTGGGGGGTTAGGGTTAGTCATGTACTAGTAATGGTTAGGTTTAGGGTAAGGGTCAGGGTTAGGCTATAGAAAATGAATGGAAGTCAATACAAAGTCCTCAAAAAGTACATTAACAAGAATGTGTGTTTGTGATTGTGTGTGTGTGTGGTGGAGAGTGCAACAAAATCCCATGAGTAGACGCAAAGCTAGCCCCCATCCCCCTCTTCCTCATCCCTGGGTGAGGTTTATAGACAGTCTGTCCAACTGCCAGCTCCCAGCAGGAGGCGGACGGCTGGAGCTCGGGATGGGAGGTTATGGAGACAGTGGGGTGGGGACAGTCTAGCCATGTTTACAAGCTGGAAGTGTTGGTTGATGGTTTAAAGATGAGGACAGTCGCTTCTGGCATTCATATGCTTATTTAGCCTGAGCATGGCCTGAAGTGATGCTTTTCCTATTAATTAGGGAAATTATCAAACAAACACAATATGAATACTTGATCAGTGGCTGAAACATGTTCTGCCAAAATGCAAGTTGATGTATTCAGGACGTTTTTAAGTGACTTGCTGTCATTTAAGATATATCATTCATTCAACCTTTATTCATTGCTCTCTTTGAAGTCTTTCTATAATTCTTTGAGCACAGCACTTTCAAAGTGATCATTTTTGAGCCAGCATTGATTCGCTGAGAGATGCAGGCACATTTTCTGTGGCCTTTCTACAAGTTTGAACTCAGCACAGCATCTACTTTTATTAGTTTCATCTTTTAGTCAATAATGCCATAACTAAAGTTTGCACTTAGCGGACCGGTGACACACTGACACCACTGTGAACTTTGTCACCGATCTCAGTAAGTCAAGACAAGGTTACTTTTTACTTTTTAGCCAGGGTTTCCTGAAATCTCATGGTCAGCAGGTTCAAGAGACAGTTGTATTATATTTGATCTTTTGTGAAGTAGAGTTGTCTGGAGAAACTTTTAAGTAGTAAGTGTTTTACATGCTGTAGACAGCAGTCAGACTGATCACAGTTTGGAGAAGAATGCAAGAAGTCAAGCTCACCCACAGTACAAGGCCATTATACTGTATTTGAAGCAATGAGTAAATAAAAAGGTCACATTTCAAGACCATGCACCAAATTGATTAAACTCAAAATCTTAGTAAAATTTAAAGTACATTTCTTGGATGGCAAAGATGATCTGTATGTGTCGTGAATGAATCACACCAGATTTTAGCTCAGCGTCTGTTAGCCGTGGTGACCATCCTCATTTAAGTTGACCAAAAGTTAATCAGCTGTAGATGTACAACCAAGAATTACTTCATGAGAGCTTCATTTCAAACTTTCCACTGGTTCATGAGATATTTTGTTGACAGACAAATACGTAGAAACAGGAAGTTACATATTTTCTTGCCTTTTGTGGCGGCTTGCAATAAAGATTGTTTCTTTTTATTTCAACCACTGAAATATTGAACAATTCTGAACTTTTTCTTAAAAAAATCAACAACAATATTATGGTCTTGATGAGGTTTTGTGCAATCTCCCCCCCACCCCCCACCCTAACAGCATCCAGCCTGAACTGACTTTGAAGTGGAGCGCATCAAAAGTTATCACTGCCAAAACTCAAATAGGTAAACAAGTCAAACGGCATTAATAATTTGTGAAATATTTATTTAAAGCGGCTAATTCACCCTCAGAAGTCAGAAGCTGACACTTTCTTTACCAGATGAAACAGAATGAGTCATTGTTTGATGAATATTTTGTGGGCAACCCCCCCCCCACCGCCACTACCTTCATTTCTGCCTCTTCATAATAAAACTCTCAGCAGCACGGGAAGAGTCGGCCTTAGCTCAGTCTTTAGACACATTTGGCTCAAAGGGTGACCATTTATTTTTTTTATTCTTCATATTTTATATTTTACTCCCTCTATTGTCTCACACAAATCACATTACATTAAATCATCAACCCCCCCAATGCCCCATTCTCCCGTGTATTGTACAGGATCCCTGTTATTACGACAATAAATCAAAAGAAACATTGCTAAATACAAACTAGGAAGAACGACTGATGGGTGCAGTATTGATATTAGATAAGTGATGACTTTTCCTTTACATTTTAATTTCAATTACATCGAGGAGATCGCATCTTTATAATAAATTGCGCCGTCCTTTGGTCTGTTGGGGCCTTTCTCCAACACAAGCACGTCATAAATTGGATTACACATAGACTCCTCTTTCTTTTATGGAACATCAAAAGGCTCAAAATTAAATAAATAAACAAAGCATTATGAAACAAGTATCTAAGCTCATTATTATGAAACATTTTTTTTATTATTATTTTATTTCATAATTGATTTTTTCATAACTTATTTATTTCATAATGCCACTTTTCAGCAGAATGACGTCAGCTGTCCAATCAACGTCAATGGGTTGGACCTCCACTGACTGGTCCTTTCCATTAGTTTTCCTGCTGCTCACTGGTACGGCTAGCATAGCAGCTAGCAGCGACTTGCTAGGTCAAGGGTCATGAAGGTTGTCAGAGTTGCATGAACTTCGTTCAGCTCAGGTAACTTTAGCAGATCAAACTGAGAGGATTACGTTCTCAGAAGATACAGGTGTTGTGAGAAAAACTGATGGACTGATTAAAAAATTGATGGGCGCTGCGGGAGCGCGCACAGGAGGACTCGCTGTTTTAGTTCTTTGAATTTAACAAGATTAACACTAGCTGTAACAGTGAGCGGGCATTCAGCAAAACTAATGGATGTGAAGGATCAGCCAGTGGGCGTGAAGGTCCAGCCCACTGACGTTGATTGACAGCTGAAGTCATGCTGCTGAAAAGTGGCATTATGAAATAAATAAGCTCTCATGAAAAACACAATTTTGAAATAAATAAGACATCATGAAGTCAGAGTCAGTGTCAGAGATTCTTTATTGTCATTCGCACCGCATGTGGTACATGTGGTGGAGCAAAATTGTGTACACAGGGTCCCAGTTACATCCAACAATAAAATGTAAAAGAAAAACAATGATAACATCTAAGATATGAACTAAGAAAAACATCAACTAAATATACACTAAGCACTAATAGCATAAAAACATTGCGTTGAACAGCAGCACGAACATGAGCACGAGTCTGTGTAATGAAAAACACAATTCTGAAATAAAAGAATAAAAATGTTTTGTTTTTTTCTTATTTCAT